CTGGCACTGTGCGTGTGCATGTTCACGCAAGACCTTTACGACCAGCACACGTTCCCCTTTGAGGCGGCACTGGAGAAGTGGAAGGCTGCCAGCAGCAGGGCCCGGTACACAATGAACCGCTAACTAGCATGCAGCATCAACACCAGGGGCTGCAACCAACCGCAGAGGTTGTGTTTGGCGGTTCTGGTTCATGGCTGCTATGCATCATACTTTTGCAATCTGGAAAGTCGTATAGTGTTATCTTTCAACGTGATGCAAAACGAACAACGGTGAACGAACTCTATTTGATCAGTAGGGGTTAACTGGTCTGTGTTTGCTTGGCCTCTGCAACTTCCTGTCAAAGCATCCAAGTGCGTGCTGCTTCCTGGTGTGCAAGAGACACCTCTATGAAGAGATTGTGGTGTGCGTGTGTTGTGACATGCCCCAAACCCTGTGTTTGTATGGACTAAACTAAAACTCATGGGGGGGTCTGAGGGGGGAGTAGCCCCCCCCCAGCACCTTACAGATTCGGAATACTTTTATTCCCGCGACTAAAAACCTATTCCTCCGTTCGGACTGGAAAATTGATGGGCAAAAATGAAAAAAAAACACTGACCCCAACCTCGCGGAGCCTGCCTTCTGCATCCTGTGGACACTTGCCCTGTACATGTGGTCCTGTTCTTAGCCTGGTGCCCCTCCTGGGAGCACCATCCAGGACATGCTATTCTGCCTGCTGACAGCGGACCAGCAGGCTTTCAAGGAGGAAGTGCTGCGGAGTGCCACCCTTGTAGACTATCAGCTACGCACTGGGCCTTACGTCCAACTAACCCAGCGTACTTAACGCAGTGAAGACAGGAGGAAGGCCTCGCCGAAATAGGGGGGTCCTTGTGAAGCAGCTGCCCGGGTTTCCAAAGCACGTATGGTGTTGGATTGTAAGGTGCCCAAGTACGTTTTCGAGGAAGAGAATGTGGCCAGGCTGGAGAGGAAAGTGCAGTGGCATATTGGAATGTGAGATTAGCGTAAGCGAGTTACAGGGCATTTGGTGCACGGGCGAATTTACGTGCATACCTTTCACCATAGCATCAGTCCTCAGTTCACTTCTTCGAACGAACATCAGCATAGGTCCAAGCCCTCTCGCGTGGAGGGATATGCAAACAAACATCCTGATAGGGGTAAACTCGCACGCTACCGAGCATTCAACCGAGTACATGCATGCTTAGTTGAATGGTGAGATGCGACCCCCCCTTCATTTCGCGGTCGGCAAGCCAGCCACCGCGTACCAGATATGTTGGCCATGTCAAAGAGACGCTGCACCTCGGTACCTGTGCGCAATGCATACGCTGCTCGACCGCGCCGACCAAAACTACATGTTCCCATCTGAAGATAATCCCGGTGGTTTATCAGCAGCTTTTGAGCTTGCTGCTGGCTCAAGTCCTTCCGTAGTTGCTGCAACACGGCTAACGCAGGCACGGCCGAATGCGCTGCGAAAAGCTGTTCCAAGCCCTCAGCGGCATCCATTTTACTTGCAAGGTTCTGAACGGCTTTCGCGATTCTTATCTTTACCTAATTCTGCGCTTCTTATTACTTATTTCGTAAGAGTGTAACTTGAGTTTAGTAGGAACAATGTGCATTATGCGCTGCGCTACCGAAAGCAGGCGCCTTATGCCTTGCACACATGTGCCTCTTCGCCAGCGGTTCATCTTCCGCGACAGTTTCAAGAGCCCAGAGTTGCAAGCTACGACGTTGGCTTTCGGTGCTTTTATTTACTGCAAAGCATCGACGCAATAGTCCAGCGTGCGGCTATGGCCAACATGCTCACCTGCGCAACGCGCTGGCGCACCTGGTCCTCATCCGCCAAGAAATTTTGTATACATTTGTACAGGCGCATTTTGCGAATCGCACGCGCGCATCTGCGCGGCAAAATTCGCTCCTGACTTTTGGGACGAGATGTACGGATTCTCTATTCGCGAAGTACGATTGTGCGAGAGGCTGCTTAAATACAACAGTGACCTCCAATATAATTGGATTAGCACACAGGGTCCGGGTCTACCTAGACATGGTGACCATTCGGCAAGCCCTGCTTTCTGTGAAAGGCGAGGACGCTAGTTCCATTTCGCCAATTGTTGCTGCCCTTTCAGATTTAGGCTTTGACGTAGATGCCGAGGTCAGCAGCGCTTTCCGCCTGCTGAACGCGGAACAAGCAGCAGGCCTCAATCTTCGACAGCAGTTGGCTCTAAAGGCCGCCATCCAAGGTCCGTTGTATGCAATCGCGTACTTAAGCACTGTTAGGCTCGTATCCTGTAAACCGCCACTGCAGGCACGCACTTGTAAAATTTGCGCATGGGGCCGTCAGGAGTGCCATTGGACGCATAGGGCGTTAGGAGTGTCTCGTCAAGCCCTGTGAGAATTGTTCCTCAATTGTGCTGCGGTGCTTAGGCATTGTGGTTGAGAGTAGACAGGACGCACGCCCTTTCCCGCTAGCACGCCGAGGCGCTGGTGGCGAGTTCCAAACCTAGGTTTTGCAGATAGCCTTTGCGAACTTGCGCGTGAAGCTACCTAAGGTGTTAAGAATGCTGCATAAAGATTGCTACTACATGCGAGCCGCGCTGCCTCTACCTGCACCCGCCACATATCGGGAATCCAGGATGCACGTGGTCTTCCTGATATACCGACCTGCATTAGCTTTTGGCCGTTATTATGTACCTATGAGCATGGTTGTGTTATCGAAGATTCTGGTGGCTTTGGTGGCTGCATGCCCTTTCGACTTTGTGCATGCTAAACGGCCAAGTCCACGGCTTCCTTGTAACACCAGGCAAAGAGTACTCAGGGAGATGCCAGGGGAGCTGATCCCTTCTTACATTCCTCCCCTCTCGAGTGAACGTCCTCGGGCGCCCCCGGGCATATCCCGTAGGATTTGGGTTGTTTGAGATCCCGTGGGATTGTGAATTAGTTTGTTATTGTGAGATTTCGTCAGTCCCCGTCCGGATGGAGGACTTTGCTTTTACTCGGCTGGTATACTTCTCACCCACCCCTGCATCCACCTTTGGGGGTAAGAGTGCTGCATCTTGCCTGGTGTGTGATATGTTCACAACCGAATCCGATCCGGGGAGTACTCACCTCCTAGAAATTCGCACCAATGTAACACCAGGCAAAGAGTACTCAGGGAGATGCCAGGGGAGCTGATCCCTTCTTACATCTACCACAGTGGTTCTGGATGAGAATGCCACGCGCTTCTTTGGTGCACTGCATACCATGCATGGTCATGATCTTCTGAACCGTTAGTAAGCTGTGTGTTCCTTTACAATTTCGTGACAAATGACCTACCTGCGTACTGCACCCTCGTTTTTCCTTGATGTACAGCTGTGGCAACTACTGTCCCGCCACCGGGTCCCAGCTCTGGTGAGTTCGCCTCATTTTTATGTTACTTCTTGGAGCTGAATCCTTTGTGTCCTCATTTTTTTCACTAGGTAGTGAAGTGCTAACAGCTTTGGCAATGTTGTGGCTCTGGCTTGCCAATCTACCTGCACTTAAGGATGACTATGCACACCTATCTAGCTATGTATCCTGCCTCTTGTTTGCCCTTCTGGCTGTATGACATCTAAGGGGGGCTGATTCCTTTATAATGATAACCTAGAGAAAACCCCGGGAATTAGTTCCTACACATACTGGTGCAGCCTCTCTTTGGGTGGATCTGGATAGAAGAGGGTGGTAATGTGTTACCAGGGGGATAAACCCAGGCAGCTGTACCTGCATGAGGCGGCTGGATAATGTATTAAAACATCGGATTTAAAACAGTGGTAATTTTTTTGTCGAAGTTCAATCCTATAGAGGGAAACTTGCTCTGCAAGTCAATAGATATTTTCTATGGTAATAAGTGCCACTTGTGGGTCGACTGTGAGCTTACCACCGACCAAAGAGAGATAGGTGAAACCCAAGTTGATGACCCCCAACCGAAAACAGAGTTCATTAGACATTTTAGAGGATTTTCCATTTTGCCCTACAGAGGAAATTGAGGCACCCCGGAGTGACCCAAAAGGGTTTGAGTCCTTGCGAAGCATGGCTTCAGGGGCCCCACAATTATCCCTAAGTTTTTTTGCAAAAACTCGAAAGATATTTTAGCGTCAATCTACATGGTTTCGGGTGGAAGGCGGCCGGTAAACAGGTCTTGCAGTGTGAGGCCTGCTTGGTTGCCAGTCAAACAACAAGTAGGCGGCTGGCAGAGGTTAAGGCCTGGCTTCTGCTCCCGACGCGTTCCGGCGCGTCTGGGTTCAAATCCGCCTGCCGACCTCTCGGGGTGTTTGAGAGGTGATGAAATGGGAGATGGCTCCCCATCTTGTGGACGGTGTAGGACGTGATAAAATCAACTCGCGAGCTGACCAGGAACTAAGTTGACGCGCCGTTGATCCGCTAGATTTGGTTGGATGCTGGTGGTGAGTTGCCAAACTCAAAGAGTACACTCTGAAGTCGGATGGGGTGAATGGCTTAGGGTGCCCCTCTAGCAGGGGAGAGCAGGGAACTGCCTCGGGAAGGAGGCCACTGGTGAAGCTTAACCACCCTGTAACAACATCAACAAGTACCGTAGTGACGCGATCTTTTTGCGAATAAATAATTAATTGTTTGGGACCTCGCAGAGTGTCAAAAAAAACTCGAAGGGGTCCCTCGCAAATATTTTAAAGTTTCAAAAAAAACTCCCATGGCACCTCGCAAAATGTTCTCGCAAAAATGAATAAATACAGCCGGCCGTTTGCAGCTCTTACCAGACCAGACCGCCAGACGTGACTCGCGAGCTGAATTACAACCGATAACATTGATCAATGTGGCTGGCTGATATTGGGCTAAGGATAGCTGGTTATGTGCCTTTGTCCGCTTTGGCAGGTGTGAAGTCTTTGTAAAGGCTAATGCGTTGTGCTACGATAAGTCTTTGTGGGCCGTGAGGAAGAACATTGGTGGCACCGTACGTTGCCACGGGAAAAGCGGTAAATCCAAGGCCGAGAGTCGTACGGTGCGCTCTTCACAAAGGCGCGCCTAAAGTTGGTCGTTTCCTTTAGTACATTACGATGCCTATTCGTTGACAACGCTGACGATAAGATGCGAGTTCGCAAACTTTCAAATATGGCTCACGAGCTCGCAAATTTCAAAAGTTTCTAAATAAACTCTGAGCGGGGCCTCGCAAAATAATAGTGTTTCCATATCCAAATTTTAATAATTTTCTGGCCTCGCAAAATAATCGCGTCGCAAAAAGATCGCGTCACTACGGTATGTGCGTGAAAATCTCCTCGTTGGCGACTTGACCTGTGCAAAAGCAGAAGCTCAAACATCCTGAGGTGGTTCAGTATGTATACAACGATTGAGCTACCGTGAAGATTGCAGCAGAGTAGGCTGGTCATGGCGGGGGATCTACCTTGGCTGCTGTGGGCACAGCTGAGTGTGTCCGAATGGCGACTGCCTGCCTGACTGACCAATGTAAATACTCAAAGCGTGTTGGGGTTGTTTTTCGCTCGCGGCATGGATAAAGCTGCCGTCTCACTGGGATCCGTTCTACTTTGCTCCCCCTGCATGCTTGCTGCCTGCGGCTGCCGTGAACATGCTCACCGTGCTGTAGGGTATGGATTGGCACGCGGTTGGTTGGGGTTGGGCAGAAGAGTGTTCCTCACACAGCATGATATCGGCTGAACGCCAACCACTGTTACGGCAGCAGTGCAACACCAAAGCTCACGTTGAAATTGTTGTAGTGTGCATCCGTCTTTGTTTGCACTATTGAAGCACCTTGGGTCGGCATGCCTTGATGCTTGAATCACACACAACCCCCTCCACTGCGTATCAGCATTGTGTGGACACTTTACCACCAGCTGTTAAAAGTACAGCACCCCGCACCCCGCCGTGCAGCTGTGTGCCCCATTGTAACAGCCGTCTCTTACCTTAGCTGTTTGAGCGGAAGCGGAGGGTCTGGTCCACGATTGATGACCCAGCATTAGGCGCGAGAACAGATACGGGAAGTTGGAATTCGAAGACATACATCGAGAACGGTGACAGCAGAGTCTTGAACATCCGAACACTGGTATAGTGATACGATAAGTGTCTGGCCGAAGCACTTCACCTGGGTGGCTTAAATGCGGCCCACCTGCCGCCATCTCCATTCCTGGAGTCTTGGTGTCGTACGCTAGGTTGTGATAGCGCAACAGAAAGTGAGTTTGTACAGTTAACGAGTATGATTTGTAACTACGGGACCGTACCGTTACTGTGATTAAGCTTTAATAGCTTAAAGATATTCTAAGGTAAATGTAGCTTGCTACACCCATTGTGATAGTGGCCCACCCTGCACGTTGTCTGGCGACCATGTCTATGATGTGTGCACGCACTGCATCGTCGTTATGTTTGACGATTTTATGCTGCTCATGTTGTACAGCACTGGTGTTCCGGTGACCCATCCCGCTTGCCCTGCCGTGGGCCTGCCGCCTGCAGGTGCTGATTCTGGCACCAGCAATGCTGCAGCAGGTGAGCCGACTGTGCCTGACACGGGATGGGGGGGAAACAGGTTTTGTGGGCTTGGTGTGCCCGTTTCATTGCAGCACTGGGCTTGAGTGCATGGATGCTCGGTTGTGGGAGAGCACACACTTTCTCTACCCGCCGTAAAGGGGCGGTTCAGTGTTCTGCATGACATACACCTCCTGCTGCCTGAGGGGTGTGACTTATGGCTTGATTCAGCTTGAAGTTGCTTCGTCACTCTGCTGCTCTGCACCCCTTCGTTCCTGCCTCCTTTCGTTGTGTTGTGATCCTGCATGCATTGCAACTGGGCGACAGTGGCTGGCTGTTTAATGTGTATGCACCTTGTGGGCATGATGGGCTATCCTTGTGCAGGCCTGCCAGCTTGCAAGCTGCAGCTCCGGCGAGACTCACAGAACCAGGACCTGTTCTTCTTTGAGCCCATGGACACCAACAGCACTGCAGCTGCTGTACGCGCTGGCGTGAGCAGCAGGTTCTTCCTGGACCCCGAGGGCAGGCAGATAGATGAGCTGCAGAAGTGGCTGGGCCTTGTCGAGGATGAGCACCGTAATGGCAGACCCATCCCACCGCTGATCATCAACGGTCTGATCAAGGTGGGATTAGGGATGCGAATTTACGTTTTACGTTTTTACGTTTTAAGGAATTAAGGTTACGTAATTACGTAATTAAGATTGGACCTGGCCGTAATTTACAGAATTAAGGGCTCGCCGTAATAAGGTCCCTCAGGAGGGGTAGAAACCTTAAAAGCTTAACAGACCCATGGGTCTTACAGGTTCCGCCGGTCTGCAAACCAGGGTGCCGCTGACCCGTCCACTCCTCCGAACACACCACAAACCCAGCCATGGGGGAAGCGTGAAAGAGTCCAACAATGCAGGTTGAAACCCGCGATTCCCTCCGCCCAACCAAGCAAAAGAGCAAGTCAAGTAGTCAACACGACAAGTAGTCCTGGTTTGCAACGGTATTAGGTGTCGTGGTCGAGTATGTATGCACGGCTTTCAATGCTTAACGAAATCCCCAACTGATGTCAAAAATATGTAAATAAGTAAAGAATGGTGTTGCGAATGTGAAAACGCTGAAATTGTGCTGAAAATCCATAATCGTACACTAGTACGGCAACCTTAAATTAAGGGTCCAGGGTCCAGGCCGTGGAAACCGTAAATTACAGTAATTTACTGTATTACGCTTTTAAGCTTACGTAATTAAGGTTGCCAAATCCCAATTCAGCTGAAACTCACATCCCTAGGTGGGATATAAGGGCCTGACCAAGGTTGGAGAGCTCCTTGTGCAGCTTGCGTCACCCACATGCAACATGGTTTGGAGTGAGAAGGTTAGGTGTGATAGATGCGATGCATGCAGGTGCATGCATCTTTGGTCACTGTCGAGTGATACGCAGCTGAGCGACCAAGAGGAATGCGCATTTACCTAGCCATCTTGCACCCATCTTGTGCCTGTTGTGCAGAGTGGCAAGTCCTACATGCTCAAGGAGGTTCTGCCTGCTGTGGCCAACACCTACTACAGCAGCGGCCGGCAGCATGCCGGCACGGTGCTTTCAGAGCCCAACTTCCTGCATGTGAAGTGCTTGACCTTAGATCGGTTGAGCGGCAGCAGTGTCTTCCTTCAGGAATTCCTCATTAAACTCAAGCGGAGCGCTGCCGACCAGCAGCTCTCTGCTGCCGCCAGCACGCCTGCACCCAGCGACAACTCGGCTGGTGCTGTAGTGGACGCCATTCAGGACTTCATGTGGCGCCTGCCACGGGACCGCCTGAACTTCCTGCTGATTGACGAGGCGCAGAGCTTTTACCTGCTTAAGCGGAGCATGTGGGATGACTTTTCGGGGGATGGCTTTTCGCCGCGCGGCTCAACTCTGGACATGGACGAAGTGCAGCTCATGCGGCGGTAAATCAGCACAAGGTTTCCCTAACCGTGTCGTGTGATCACATGGGCGAGGATGAGGGGCAATGGCCAGTGAAACGTGCCCAGGCGGAGCTTCACACGAGGGGGCAGAAGGCACTAAGAGGAGATTGCTGCGAGAATCAATTGTATGACATAAGCATATTGCACAAGGGGCAGAGGTCTGCACTCATGCCTACAGCAGGCGTACGACACAAAGGAGCTGACACATGCACCATTTTCCTTCCCTCAACTGTCGTGTGTACTGCAGCATCTTCAAGAAACTCCTGCTGGACAGCCCCCACTGGGTCGCCTGGGCCATCACGGGCAGTGGCATGGCGACGCTATGGGCCAACATTGCTGCCACCCCGGTAAGCAATTGGTGTTGCAGGGGGGGGTAGGAGGCACTTCTGGGGGAACTACAGCTAGGCGAGGGCGTTCTGTAACTGCTTTTAGAGTGCAAAAGGACCCAGGAATACATAAGTTATTGGTCTCCAAAGTTGGTTGTACTGCAGCATGTGGAGTGGTGGGTCCGGGGGTCCGGGAACAAAGGGGTCCCGAAACAATGTCACCAGTGGCTAAAACATGCCAATATGGACATCAATCGCTTCACCTTGATGAGATCTATCGATTGCACTAGTCTGCTGTGATGCTAGGGAGGATAGTTGATGGGGGGCCCTTAAGGCCTGGGGCCTTGTCTCCCAGCACCCCTTGGCGCCACACAACACGTGTGAACCAGAGTTGTTTACACATCTCCTTTCGGTGTGACAATGTGTCATAGGCGCGCCGGACAGATTGGGTGCAAGGACTGAGTGGGCACTTGTTGCATGTACGGCAAGAGCCATGGTGGGCCACTGGGCCATGGACCTTCATTGTCGCTGTGAACATGTCGATATATCTTCCTAGGCAGTTGTAACAACTGGGTTCATGTAACGTGCGTGCTAAAGAAGGCGAGCAAGAAAACGGATGTGCGGATAGCAGACATGAAGCGGCATCCAGGCCCTCAGCAGTGGCGTGTCATGCTTCTGGGCCAACATTGCTGGCAGCACAGCTGACGCGGTGGTGCTGTGAACAGCAGCAGCCGTGTGTCGGTGTGAACTCAATCATGTCACTGAACTACTGGCAAATGTTGTTGTTGTTGTTACATGGTCGTGGGTGTGTTCCCCGTACCTGCAAACCACCCTAATACGAGCCGAGGGCTGCCAAATCGCCTATAAGCACCATCCTACCTCGCACTTCCAACGAGACAAGTGATGAAGTATACTAACGACCAAAGGGAACGATAGAGTTGCGGTGGGACCATATGCGTTCCAGCATCCTTGCCAGGCGTTCAGGCTCCCACTTCATAGCGTCCTTCATATGTTCGAAGCGTGGAAAGCCCATATCACATGTGGCAAATGTGTGAACGCAAACTGGCATCCCTGTCTCTTGTGGTTACTGGCCTGCATGCATGCCTGCTTGCAACACTTGTGAATGCTGCGGGCATGTCAGCTTTTGGTGTGGAGCTCTGCTTATGGGCTGCATATTCTGGCGTTGCACGTCAGGCATGTTCCTGGCTCCTGCGTTTGTCCAGGCGCTTAGACTTCGTTATGATGCTGCTTGCTGTTTTTGGAACTTCAGGGTTCCCCTTCAGGGTTCCCCATCGGGGTTGACGGCCACGCT